AAGCAGGCTGCTAGAGTATGCAGTTGATTTCATTGGGACTTCTTGCATGCATAGCCAAGTAATGTTAATTTCTTGTAAAACGTAGAAACCACTCAAGGAACAGAAATCAGTTCTTCCTTTCTTGTGTGAGTGCCTGTCACTGGGCTCCAAAGTTGTGCTCCCCATTAACTCTCTTTCTGACAAGTGGATCTTGAATTACTGTTTAAACAGTATCCAAGCATGATGTTAGTTAACAACTGCCACTGTCTGAAAGAGGTGATATCCTGGTAGTTAAGGAAGTGAGATGGGAAGATTTGAATCCTTTCTAGCAGAGAAGGAAGAGGTGTCCTCGGATGTTGTACTTCTGAGTGGGTGCTGTAACGACCAGGCAGTTGCCGTGAGTAACCTTGCAATACATAGCCACATCTTCCTGTATAATGCAGGGGATGTGGGAAAATAGCGCTCATGGCCTTTTTGTTTTATTTTGAGAGTGAAGGTGAAGCTTTTCACCCATTAATGGAGGAATGTCTAATTTCTAGATCTCCGTTGGGCTTAGGCAGATACAAAGCTAGGTACTGAAATAACCAAATTTTTGGACCTAGTATTTTTTGGACCCAATACGGTGAAATAAAACCTGAGTTTGTAGGATCGCAAGTTGGTTTTTTTTAAGTGCCTATCCAAAGTTCTGCTTTACATGCCTAAAGCCTCTTTTGGATGTGGTCTTTTTGCTCATTCAGTTCATAGCATTAAAATATCAGCTCTCAATGAAAGGGGAATGTGCCTTTCACCTCTGAAGACAGCTGAATAGTCAGAGTGTTTTGTGCAGAACCGATACAGTGTAGGCACTATAACAAATTCAGGCAAAAGGATTTGTTTTCCTCAGAAGGTGTTGATGCCAAGTCTGAGATTTTCCTTGAGAAGGAAGCATGTGTAACACCACCACCAACCATGAAGGGAGGAGAGGAGATTGAGTGTGCCTGTCCAAAATGTGTACGTAAAGGACATAGAGTGTAATTATTGACACTTTTTGGTGTAGTTTGATTTGCTAAATTCAGGAGTTGCTGAAGTTGCTGACAGTTCTCGTAGATCTGGTATGTAAATGTGCACACAGCTCAGTGAAAAAATTATGATTAATTCTTTGTTTGCAAATGCTATTTTTTTAGTGATGTAGACTACCTTCTGTCCTAAGGTGGTGGTATATTATTTTGCTATACAATAAATAGGAGTGTCAATCATTTGAAAATGGAAATTGTTTACAGAAATATGCACAACTTATTCTATGACATTCTTTTGAATAGAAAACTATATATTTGACAGACTTTTGGAATGATATTGCTATATGCTGTATTTTTAATCTATTCACAATGAATAAATAAAAATATGTATTTTTTAAAAATGTGAAAATAAATCTGAGGATCAGTCTGCCAGAACTTACCCAGGTTCAGTGTTTCCCACTGTCAGTGGGAATATTGCTTGGATAAGGACAGTGAGATGGAAGCCTTTGTTAGTATGTCAGACATGCAAATACTGATTGTCTGCATCACTTAGTCCTCTCATTCACTTTGGTTTCATTCTGGCTGGTCAATAAAGTTCTTTTTGTCACTTTTCTCAGTAGAGTTTCGGTCATTGCATGTGGGGGTTTGCTTTTGTTTTTTTCTTTATAATTTGCCAAAGTTCAATCCTACTATTGCAAGCTTCCAGAAATCCTCTGTGGTGTTTTTATTATTCCATCCCTGATTTCATTCACTTTCAGTAACTAACTGGGAGGAAATAACTAGATAGGTACCAATCAAATCTGTTTTCCTCAAGAAAACTAAATGTTCTATTTTATTTGCATTCAATTGCACATGCAGTGTCGGTAACTAATATGGGATAAGATGTAAGGACTGAAGTGCTCATTTGCAGGACTACTACAGAGGCATCTTTATGCCTTCAGTCCTTGCTTAGTCCAGAGAAAAGCATGGAAATACTTGGCCTCTATGATTTGAGGTGCGAGAGGTTTCTGTAATGGCTACAGGTATCTAATGATACACTGTCATCTTCAGTATGACTTATTCCCCTTCCTTTTAAAGAATAAACTGTCTGATACTAGCCCTTTTAAACTGTTAAAAATTGAGCTCTTACTGTTGCTTTTTCATTGCTTTATTTAGACAGGTATAATTTATTATACCTGTATAGTTTAAATGATATAAAATTGTTCTCTAGCAAAGGCACTGTGAAATAGCAGAATCTCAGAACAAAAAAGCCCCAGCAGGGCCTCTTCACTCCGCTGTAGCGTCACTAAGATGAAAAATGGTGAAATTTGGCACTGCAGGTCTTTAGCTGCTGTCACTGAGAGCTGGAGTGTTTGGCAAGTGTAATGAAGTGGGGATAGCATCCATCAGAAAGCATGGAGACAGCCAACACTTACAGCTTATAAAGTATAAATAATATTGCCTGTTTCTTAATTACTGGTCTGTGGGACTGATTGGAATCTCACTTTCTTCCCCACAGGTATAATTTAACTTTTGAGAGTAGAGTGGCTGCTGACAGACACGGGTGTAGTTTAGATGGGCCAAATCAGGACTTCTCATCTGAATTTTGAAAGGGAGGATTTCGCTTGAACCTCGGGTTGGATTCAGGGCCAGTGCTTCTGGTGGTGAGTCAGGCTGTTTTCAGGTTTAAGTTCAGGGGCATCTCTCTCATGCCTGCCACTGCTGGGGACCTGAACACTTCATGGGGACAGCTCACACGTTTGTAACCATCAGGCCTGGTCCTTAGTCTAGACATAATTGATGCAAGTGTTGGGTGCTTGCTCTTCTCTGGCTAACTCCTGTGCCAGGAAAGCAATATGCGGAAGCTGGTAGCTTGTTTTATATTTTGAGTTCTCCTGTAAGTTCATATTAATTTGGAAAAAGTCCCATCATCATCATCTTACCTCGCACTGGTAAAATGAGAAATCTGGTGACTCAACTGCTAGTCCCGAGGGGTGACCTGTGTTCTTATCCCCTGTGTGACACATGGCTGATGTGAATAATCTTGGGCACACAGGCTTCCTTCAGCGTTCAGAAGTGTCCCTGTGGCCGTTTCAGGGACAGAGGCTGACCTCACCCACAGCAGGGCAGAAAAGCACTTCTCTGGGAGGGTGTTGGTACCTCTCACTGCCTGGGCAAAAGGACCTGTGGTGCCAGGCAGCCCTTGCAGTAAGAAAACCACTTGTAAGATGTGGTGGGTGCAGCCTCTCGCACACCGCATCTTCCCCCCGACACACCAAATGTGCAGTGCTGTGGATGGTACCCCATGTCCACTGCTGCATGGACAAGTGCTTGGAGACTGCCAAATTGGACTCTTGCCCTAAACTTTTCTGCCTGAACAAATTACAGGTAATTTGCTCTGTGAAGCCAATTCAGGTCTGCCTGCCTTCTCTCCCCCTTGAACCTCTCCTGCTTTTCTGCAAAGCCAGGGCTGTGGGATGAGTGTTAACTCCCTCTGTTCCCCTCAAAACCCACATCTTTCTGAAAAGGCACTGAGCAGAGGGTGTGGAACTACAGCAGTGCTGAAGGAGGATCCCATTCACGCTTACATGTGTGTGCTGTTATTCCTCAGTACTTGTAGGCAGTGAATGAAATTTTTAGCAAGATGCTGCAAACCTGCAGCCTTTTGGCAGAATCATGTCTAGCAGCACCCTGGAAAGAGAGCTGGTACCGCAGGGTGCTGCAGGGACAGGCAGGCTGTGGGAGGTGCCAGGGGAGATGGGTGAACTGAGGCTGTCGGCAGGGTTCCAGCAGGTTTATTTTCTCTATCCTGTTTAAATGGACTGCCACAACTACAGAATTAAATCAAGCTGCATTTGTGGCCTTACCCTAAAGAAGCTGGAATTTTTCTCCAAATGCAACCCTTCAGCTCTAATTAAGGGGTGAGAATAACATTAACTCCCCAGGAAAACTTACCAAAACTTACCATTTCAGGCAAAACGCGGACAGAGACTCCCAAGGGCACCTTGATGGGGCACCGGGCAGCTAAAGTGTGCTACTACCCCTTTTCACAAGAGTTGTACTGACTACTACTGCTGCTGCTACCGCAGCCTGGCATGCTGATCCCTGTGCTGCAAGCAAAAAAACCCAAATCCCCCAACCATCAAGTCTGCTGACTTTTCACTTTGCAAATTCAGTGAGTTGTAGCTTGGCAGCAGGAAATGAAAATGCATAGTTTTTAGATTTTTTTTTTTTTTTTTTTAGATTTTCAGGGGGGGGGCACAGGCGATGCCCCCACGTACCGCAAAGGCGGGTGTGCTCTGCCACGGCATCCACGTGGCGGCGGGGCGGCGCGGAGGGCTCGGCCCCAGCCCCCGCCCGGCCCTGCCCTCTGCCGCGCTGTCCCCCCCCGGGTCCTCCGCGGCGTGGGGACGCGCAGGGCGCTGCCCCCTCCCACTCCGTCCCTGGTTGCATTGCACCTGCTTGGAGACAGGGATTAAAAAAAAAAACCCGCAGTATTTTATTGTGAGGGTGGAGGGGGTGTGGAGTGAGAGCGGTTGCTGGGACCCGGGCTTGGAGATGGGGGGGGTGGGGGCTGCTGAAGGAAAA